ATGCGCTTTACACAATTGATGTGTGTATAGATTGTGATAACTGTTGTATGAGCCCCTAATAAAATGTTTAAAAACAAAAAAGAGCAACATAATCTTGTTTTAACATCCAACTTACCATCTGGGAAACACCCCATTCTCCAAGCTTGTAGTCTGGCTGCGTCTCCAACGTCGCTGGTAGCTACTGGCACAACTCCGGGTGAGTGAGGAGTTTGGTGACGGAAATGGAGTGATAAGCAAGCTGCTGAGAGATGCTATTGAATCAGAAGAAAAGTACAATGTTTAAATGAATAATGACTAAGCATAAATGAAAACCTCTTTTAAAGAGGGATGACTCAAACCTTTCATTATACTTCATAAGCAAATTTCTAAAATTCTTTTTTTTTTTAAATCATTGGAGCAAGGTCCCAAAGGATAAAGACCAGATAGTAACAGAGACACTTAGGTAGTCTTTTGACATTCCTCCCTCCTCAGAGGAAAATGTTAGTTTATAACCAGGTTGTATCCCAATGTCCAACAGATGACATCAGGTAGTTTCTAAGCAATCTCCCAAGTAATTTTTTCTTATCCGTGCTAGGCCTAGATTAGCAGGCATTCTTTGAGACAATACCATACACAGAGAAAGGCATAAAGGAACTCTCAACATTTAATAATAAGGATACCAATTTAAAGAAATCAAATGTGAGATTGAAAAAGAAATTAATGCATCCATTGTGATCGCAAGATACACAGGATTATTACATGAACCTAACATTACCAGAGCGTGCTATGCCACTGTCTCTATCCTCATTCAGCTCTCTTCCTGGCATGTCCATTGGATTGCTGTGAACTGTGAAAGAAGACAAAACTATCAGTTATAAAATACAATGCTGTTCAGATTGGTGTTGCTCCTTTAAATAACAAATTAAATCATGCTCATTTCATTGCATTCTTTTATTTTTTTTCAATAGCATGACACCAACCCAACACCAAGAGCTATTACTCAGTTGAACAAGCTTTGAGATCTATCTGAAGTTTTGACATATGATGAAAATTATCTATGACATATTATCTAAAGGAAGAAACGGCGTGCCAGAGTATTCAGTGGTGAACGTCGTTTAATGGAATTTGCAACCTTTTTATTCAAAACTTGAAACCGTTATGAAATTGGTAGGTGAACATTGTATGTGATGTTTGATTTCAAAATAAGCTTAGAATCCCATGAAATGGTCAAGTAAGGACATCTCAATAAAACCAACCAAAAAAGGGCAAAAGAAAAAAAAAAGCAAGCAAGCAAGCAAAGGGTGACTAAATGCAAATCTTAGAGGCATATTCAGTAATATACAAAGACATTCACTATTAAATGAAAAAAAGTAAATTGGTTGCTGGGACTAAGTGATGTGTATCAATTTCATTCTACTTATGTCTACTTCTCCTTCTGTTCAAAATTCTTCATAACAAAAAGTTTAAGAAAACTATTCGAGTACAATACAGTTTTAAAAAGTATGTAACATGGTTGTTTCTAGTTGGCAAGATGGCTAATAAGTTTTTGCCAAGTTTATAAAATTAATGTGTATTTTCCATATATTATTTGCAAGAAAATGGGACATTAATTAAAACAATAAGTAAGGGCTAAAGTGATACCAATTTGAAAGCAACAAAAATATATTCGCTCATATTCTATTGATAATTTCCACCAGAAGGTTACAATGCTGGGTAACCTACTGAAATGAAAACATGTAGAATAATTAGAGGCCTGAACACAGCATTTAATAATATGAACAGATATGATGGGGGCTTCAAAAGGTTTGTGAGAAATAATATTTAAAGATAATGGCATTTCCCCACAAACCTTTTGAAGTCCCCTGTGTAAGTATATGCATATATGTATGACTTATGGAGCATTCTTACGGAGCTTGTTCATCTAAATTTTAGCTCTAAGAAGAATCCACTTTCTTATGGAATAGGATAAATCAGAAATCTTTCAAGAATAATAAACTATGATATTTTCTGCAATTGATGAACTAGGGTACAAAAGCTACTGAGCCATGGAAACAAGACAGTGTGTCCCCATAGGGAATTTTAACTGTTATCATAAGAAATAACTTTCATGGTAAAATTTGGTTTACGATTCTAATGTTAAGAAATGAAAACCAAAATTTCATGAAGATACCATTTCTACTACTAAGCGAGTTTCTGGGAACTGTTAAGAATACATTTAGCAGAAAGGATTTGAAGTCTTAAACTTCCTAAGCAATATTGCTTTGTTTTTAACCACACTCTAGGCAACTCCATTTATCTACTCTCTTGTTTCCACAGCTTAACTACCAATTCTAGCCACCAGGGCACACCAACTAGTCTACCCACACAGCACATGGCAAACCTGCAAAGAAAGAGGCGCTCCTGATCAGGCGGAGCGGACCCTGTTCAGAGAATGCCCGCCTGGGGCTGCAGAACTGTGAAAGACCTACACGGCAAAAACGCAAAATACACATGAAAGAGGGCTGTTAGAGAAGCCACATGTATCGAGAATAAAAGGTAAACTAATAATACTTCAAGCTGGCTTCCCTTTTTTTGTTTTTAAGTAAATGATTCTACTTTGGTCATGGTTTATGTCAAACATAACAATGCTGTGCCCTTTTACTAACAAATCTGTAACTAATAAAGAAATACACTTTCACTACAAAAAGTAAAAAAAAATTTAAACGTTCAACCTTTTTTGTTGAAAACAATGTTTTTAAAGATTTGAAAAACCATTTGCCAAATAAGTGTATCTTTTAAAAAAGTTTTACGACTGCAGAATTCGTCTTTAATTGCATTAAGGGGAAAACTCCTAAGCACTTGGCTGAGAAAAAATGTAACATACAACAAAGAGCAAACAGAGAAGTCTTGACAAATGAACATACAAATTAGTTTTTCTAGACTGGTGGGTAATGAGTTAGAAAGGCACAGAAGAAACCCAGGCTCCTAGCATTAGGGTCAATTACTGTATAAGCATGAATGCCAGACTCACAGGTGTGTAAGAGAAGCCTGCCACATACCTGACCCTGGAAAGATAACACAATTATCTCAAGATCCAAAAGAGCAAGATTAGAGCTAGAACCAGATGGCTGGGCACCCTATGCCTACTCAACGCACCCTACTGCCATCCAGTTGATTCTGACTTATTGCTACCCTATGGGTTAGGTTAGAAACACCCCAACGCATTTGAGGCTGTAAATCACCGCAGGGCAGGCTGCTGTATCTTTCTCCCACTGAACAGCTGGTGGTTAAAACCAACCTTTCAGTCAGTAGCCCAATACTGAAAGTTGACTCAGAACTACCATGTCCTACAATCAAAGTCAGTGGAAAATTACAGTAACCCGAGACCTTTCAGAAATGAAGGTTTGGTTCACCTTGCCAGGCAAATAACTATAACCAACTGATGTGTGCAGAAGGTAAAAAGAAAAGAAGCCAACAAACAATTCAAACAAACCTAATGTTTCTGAGTCAATTCAAAGTCCTAGTGACCCTATATAGGGTTGCCAAAGCCATGAATTTCTACAGGAGCAGAGAGCCTCATCTGTCTCCTGCCAGGAGGCTGTTGAGTTTGAACCGCCGATCTTGAGGTCAGCAGAACACCAATTACCTGACAGCACCACCAGTGCTGAGGAAAAAGTAAATGCAAAAGGAGGCACAAGGAGGTAGCTTTAAATACCAAGTTGGTCGCTTAACCAGTTGTAGAAGTGACAGTTGGCATTATTTTTAGTATTTCTTTCTTGTTTTGTTACATGTGCATATACTGCTTCTATCTACTTGTCTTTTTATCTATAAAATGAAGCCCCTCACTAGCAAGTACATTCTGACTTATAGTAACCCTACAGGACAGAAAACTGCCCCACAGTGTTCTGAAGGCTTTATGGAAGCAGACTGTCAAATCTTTCTTCTCTAGAGCAGACATGAGGTTCAAACCGTCAACCTTTTAGCAGCCAGCACTTTACTCACTGTGCCATAAGGGTAAAAGTTCATAGAACAATGTAATTAAAAGATAATTGAATTTTTCCACCAATGTTTTAAATCCCTCTTATGTATGCTCATATATGATTGTTCTGGGAAAGCTTGCTCTTATTCAATCCTGTGTGTAAACTGTTAAGACTCTAACCCTGTCCTTGAGACATGACCCAGTAGCTTGTGGTCTGACCTGCCAATTTTTGGTACCTCAGCCCTGAAACCAAGAGCGCAGAGAAGCCTCTAGACTCAAGCGGATCCACGTTGCATATGGGTCATTTCCATGAAATAAGTCTCTCTGTATACATATTCATATACATATGATTCACTGGCTTTGTTCCTCTAGAGAATCCACCCGAAAAGAAATCCCCCTCTGGAAATATTCCTTTTCTTGCTTTCCCAGCTATATTATCTACGTGAAATTGGATTTTCTTGATATACTTTAATAACACCCTGCCTGGGGGATGGACAACAGAAAAGCGGGTGAAGGGAGATGTCGGACAGTGTAAGACATGAAAAATAATATTAATTTATAAGTTATCAAGGGTTCATGAGGGAGGTGGGGTGGAGAGGGAGGGGGGAAAATGAGGAGCAGATACCAAGGTCTCAAGTAGAAAACAAATGCTTAGAGAATGATGATGGCAACAAATGTGCTTGACACAATGGATAGTGATACGAGTTGTATGAGCCCCCAATAAAATGATTTCAACAAACAAACACACAAAAAATCCTTCAGATACTTAAGCAATACTTTCAATCCAACATGTCTAAACCTAAAATATCAGTTCTAATTTCTTGTGTTCCACTCAGTAAATAGCACCCATACAACTACAGCAAATAGCAGATGACTTGTCCTGGATTCTGTCTTTTCTTTACTCTTTTCTATTTAATCAATGAGAACTGTCCACTGATTACTTTAGTGAGCCCTTCAGCTTCACTGGCATGATCCTAATTTAGAACACCATTATCTGTCATTGTATTATAAGGAGCAGCATTGTTATTCATAGGTATTCGAATCCATTCTCACTGTAGCTGGAATATTCTTTTGCAGATACGATCTGATCACATTGTTTTTTGCTTTTCAGTAGTAGCCTTGAGAATGTACCTATGTCTTTTCCGAAAATGAAGAGTACAACTGGCCAACGGACTCTGTTACTGTACTCTGAAATCCACCTGATATTTTTAACAAGGCCATACATTTCATGGGCTACTCCCAGCCAGTGAATAAACCAACCAATGCTGACTCAAAGACTCCTTCCTCCTCCCCCAATGGCTCTCCCTAACTTTCCTAGGTTTGCATGGCAGGCAAGAGATTTCCATCCAACATTCTGTTCTCTCTCCTTTCCTCTAGCATCAGACCTGCAGCATAGGCCGAGGGCACTTTCCCACTTTTCACCTCATTTTCTCTCCACAGGTGATTCTTCTAAAGAAAATCCTTCAGCATTTAATTCTATCATCATGTTTATTTCTCACAAGACCCAACCTAAAATACCTTCCCTGGTACTCAACTGCTCTTAACGTGACCCATAATGCTCTTGATCTGGATCTGGTTTTTCTATTTCTACTCTTTATTCCGTCTACATTATATATTCTTTGCATATTCCATAACCTCTTTCCCCTCAGTTTTCACAAATGCTATTATTTCAACCTTAATTTTTTCCCATCAACTATCTGACTAATCTTTTAAACTCAGTCCTCATTCCTCCAGGAAGCCTTTCACAACTCCAAAATTTAATTAGGGGTTCCTCATTTCTATGACACCTTGCTTTTAATCTTGTCCATGAATTCACTAGAGTATACCATAACTGATGTATTACTTGTCTGATTCCCACTAACTATGAATCGGGAGGACTTGTGTATGTCTCACCACAATATTCTCAAGGCCTAAGTGGGAGGGGCTCGTCATATTATAAATCCAAAAAAACCCAAACTCAATGTCATTGAGTCAATTTTGACCAATAGCGACTATAGAAGGCAAAATAAAATTGTCCGGGGTGGGAGGGAGGAGGTGTCTGAAGCTATAATTCTTTACAGAAGTGGAAAGCCTTAACGTCCTCCCACAAACAGCTAGTAAGTTCAAACTGCTGACCTTGTGGTTAGAAGCCTCACACTTAAAAGAATTGGTGCTCAATATCCTTGAACTACAATTAAGAGTTTACAAATAAAAGTTGTTCATTATTTAAAGTATGTATTTTGTTGAATGAACTTTCTACTCTACATTAAAATCGAGATGAGTACATCTAACATAATACACCTTTATGAAAATAAAACTTGTATTACTAAAATGAAAACCTTTTAATAGGACTTCTGAACTTTGAAACGTGTTAAATTATAAGCAAAAATATTTGATTATTGCTTTGCCACATTTTTACTTTATTAAAATCAAAGAAGAAATAAAGTTAGGTAGGAAAAAGAACTTTTATTTTTCTATAAAACACATCCACATTATAAAGTACATGCCAAACACTGTGGTCAGCCAATTTTTTTTTTTTGTCAGCCAATTTTAAACCTTAACCCACTATTAACTTAATTCTGATGCACAGTGACCTGAATTGCCTCATAAAGTTTCCAAAGCTACAATTTTTAAAGAAGCTGGCTATAACATATTTCTCCCTCAGAGAGCTGGCGAGTTTGAACTACCAACCTTGTGGTTAAGCAACTCATAGGGAAACCAGGGCTCCGTTACTTACCCCATAAGACGAGTCAAAACCAGAAACAAAACTACTGCCAGCAAGTTGATTCTAATTAACGAGCCAAATAAGGTTTACAACACAGTAAATCTTTACAGGAACAGATGCTCTATCTTGGGGAGCAGCTGGCAGGTTTGAACCACTGACTTTGTGGTTAGTCCTATGCTCACCCGACAGCACCACTGGGACTCCCTCCTTATTTACCCCCAGACCAGGCTCTTGCTAATGTTCATTTGAAAAAACACATTATAAAAATTAATAGGATATTACACTTTTGGACTTGATAGAATCTGTACTTTCTACTATCTCATATACATAATATATATTATAATAAAATATGAGTAAAGGTTCTCATTAAAGAAGGAATTAGAACAACATTTATACTATTTTTAACTGCTGTCCACTCCCTCAGATATTTCATCTCTCCGTACACTGAAAATACAGTAGACATCAATTTAGTTAAGATTTCAAAAATAAAATAAAACATATCTCAGGAACACTTTTAACTGCTAAACAACAATTACGCTAACCAAATTACTCAATAAGCTGCTATTATATTTATGAACCATCAAACTTGATTATTTACTCATCTGAATTAGCACCATTTAATGATGACTTTATGGTCAAGCAAGAGAAGAAAGAGGCTTAATAGCCATCTTCTTCAGCTGAAATATTCAGCACTAGTAAGGGCTTTCCATACCAGTAAAAGTGTCTTTAAAGATCCATCAAAGTTAAAAGACAATAGCAAAATTAATTAAGACCAACTAGATAAATCCTTTTGGCTCCCTTTTTTCAAATACAAAATAAATATGCTTAAATACATAAAAAATATGTTTTCCAAATAGTGTAAATGTTACACATACTTCCAATTTAAATGCCTTTTCTATTTCTAGAATTTGAACCTCTTTTTGGTCCTATAACAGATTTGCCTTAGTAAGAAATAACTTAAAACCCTACCCCCAATAAAAAGATTTAAAAAAAAACCTTATGATACAACTTCAAAGGAACCATTTACCTATATTTCCAAGTAGTCCATTAATGACTGTGTTATTATCAGCCTTTAATGTATTGTTATCCTGATTGATGAATTCAAGACTGTCTTGCAGTCTACAGAGAGTGAAGGGGGAAAAAAAGCTAATTAATTTCAAGTTCAAAATGTTAATTTTTTTATACATCTCCTTAAAATCTTAAGTATAAAACAAATGTTCTCATCCCAATAAATCATATAATTCAAAGTCAAAGGAGGGATTAGTAACAGAGCCTAAATTATGAGAATCGGTTTGCAGAAGGCAAGTAGGAGCCCAAGATTAATTTGTGGGAACTACTTAAGAGTATAGAAGTTCGAAAGGATAAATCTCACTTGAACAGGTAAAACTTTGTCAGTTGATTCCCCACTCTGATGCATGCC